CGCCAGTGTTCTTGATGTTGAAATTTTGCTAGTGTGTTCCCCGGTCAAGTGCCACCCTAGTACCGCAGTGTCAATCCCCAAGCAAGTCGGGATCTCGCGCACGACCACGTGAAAGATTTGGCGGAAAAACTGATAACTCGGAAGTGAGAAAAAATAGAAAGTTGAAACTTTAAGGGAATGTCCCCTACCTATGTATTACTAAAAGATTTCAAATTCAACTGCCTAAGACTGCCCGGGACTCATGTACGGGCACGTGGAGATTTTGGCAGGGAAATCACTAACTCGGGGACGAGAAGCGCCAGAAAGTTGAAACTTTAGGGCATTGTTCCCTATTCATGTACAACCAAAAGATTTCAAAATCAGCTCCTTAAAACCGCTTGGAACTGACGTACTGGCACCTAAAAATTTCGGTGGGAAAACTACTAACTCGGGAACGAGAAAAGCCGGAAAACTTTAATTTTAAGGAAATGTTCCCTACTCTTGTGCTACTAAAAGATTCCAAATTTAACTCTTCTAGCGGGGCCTTTTTCGCAGACCAGCAACTTTCCATTTATACGGTCACTGAAAATCGACATTTACAACTGATATGTCACACAGCTGCACATCTGATTTGCCGAAGTTCGAGGGTCAGTATTTCACAGGGCTAGCTACTGTGATTTCTTGCGATCTTGCTACAGCATGAAAAATGCAAAAACGCATGATCGCACCAGCCCGTTTGGAGCTTTCCACCCTGGCTATATCAGCAAAATATTAATTACAGTATCATACCTAGAAAGAAACAAAGTGCCCACTCCATTAGGTTTTAAGAGGTGCGAAGTGTTTGCGCAAGAAGAAACGAAAGAGGAAAATTAAGCGATGTTATGCAAAAATTTGTTAGATTTCTTTCAGATGTGGGAAACAAGAAAAAAGGTGCAAACCTCGATGACTACCATATGAGGTAGAGGCAGCAACTCTGGCTGGACTGCTCATTTGGTACCTTGCGCTAGCGCTTGCTGATGCACCACTACCACCGTTACCAACAACAGCTCCACCAGTTGTTGTGCTCCTCACTTCACTTTTTGATGCTTGATATGTATCTGAAACTAAACGAACCATTCTGGTAACAAGTAAAAGGAAGCATCATTGGCCTTAAAGCGAAGCCTAACAACTTTAAACAGAGTGGTTGTGGATCGTTTTTATGCGTTTTTGCCGTACAGCGCTAGAGCGCTGCAACAGGCAGCAAAAACGCATATTGCA